AAATTTGAAGTATTCGTCTGCATTTTATCAGATAATAACATATGTCTGATTTCCTGAATATTTAGTGATTTCGGAAATTAAATATAGAATTTAATTATCTTATTCTGTACTCAGACGGTTTTATATAAGACGTTTAATTTTTAGATTCATTTTGTATTATGCTATTATTTTTATAAATTATTTAAAGGACATTATGCCAAAACAATATTTTTTTTTGCTTCTCAAAAGCTTTTTTTATTTTTAGTGTGTATATTCTAAGTTATTCATTGACCAATTACCTGATCCATCTTTGTTTTCTGTTGCACTTTTGACCGTTAGTACAATTATAGTGATTTGGATTTTTTTTATGAAAGTTTAAATACATCTTAGCTTACATTTTGCTACTTTTAAGACAAATTATTTCGCATTTAGTGTATATTTCGTCAGGTAACAAGCATCTAACATACTCTTGAAAAATAATTAAAATTTTTATAAAATTCATGTTTCCTTTTCTATGGAAGTAAAACATTATTCATTTCTGAAGCGTAATGTGCCTTAAAAGTAAACCTTAAATAGACTAAGTACACTTAACCTAGAATCTGGTGTATATTTTATCGAATACATTTATTGAATGGAAATATTTAAAATTGTTTTAACTTTGAAGTTATTTTAAACAGTACAAAATTACAATATATTAAGTACTTGTTCAGTATCAATGGAATAATTCAAGACATTATTCTGTTGTTCAAACGCACATATGTGATGCATTTTTTCCGAACGTTACGGTAGTCTATGCCTTTAATGACGGTCCATCCTCCCTCTCATCAGACATTCAGACTAATTGGAAGAATGGACCTACAAGCATTTTCAGTTTAGTATAGACAAAAGATATAAAATCTAAACAAAAAGTTTACTGAACGGCGGAAAATGAGAGCCTTACAGTAGCAGTACCTGGGACAATGTAAAAAATGAGGTAGCTCTGAAGAGGACTGTTATGCCAGATAAGGCCCATCACTTCCTGTGCTGGGAACGCATTTTCCTCGTCGTTCCTTCCTACTTTGCAAAGCCAATCCCCGCGACCTCGGCAGCTGAGTCTTAGTTTGCGATAGAATCTTAACCCTATAGTGAAGATTTGGGAGGTTTTGCATCCAGGATCTACCCTTTTTGTTTAAAACAACTCTCAGATTTGCCAGTCAACGTGTCATTGGTGATGAATCAGCCAGGCTCAAAATCTTATGCCGATGCTTGTAGTTTTTCTACGATGTACACGTACTGAGGGAAAAAGAGAGGAAGCGTTCAGATCCGTTACAAATACTGTTTAATATTGAGTCCGAGTATCGAAACGGTCACTAATACAAGTTATACGTTGTACTTCCTTCATATAATTTATGCAAGTTAAAGAAAAAACTAGAATCGGCATTTTCAAAACGTGCTATCAAAATAATTGTGCAAATGATAAATTCATCAACATTTTTATAGCATATTGAACTACTTTATTGTCAAACACTGATTTCTTCACTTTTATCGCATTCATTGAATTTCAAAATATAATAAATCTAAGATTGTTGTGGTATGTCGTTTCAGATGTTTGACATTATCAAAGTCTATGACCTTTGTGATGTTATAACTGGACATCTGAACTCCATACCTTCCTATGAAATAGCAAAAATAAACCCCTCTCAAAATCATGATATAATTCCTAATTATGCGGTATTATATGGTGTGAAGTCAATGGGTTAATTGTACTTACTTTTGTATACGTTGACTATCATGTCCTAACAATAAAAAAGTGTGAATGGCATAATTTTGAAGTTTACACTCATAATTATTTGTAAACGTTTCTGATTGCGGGATATTTTAATATATCATAATTTAATCGAAATGTACTTCACTTAATACTGATGTTTTTTTTCATAATGTTTTATGTTACTTGTTATGCAAATAATACACGTTCTTGTTTGTTAATGACACGCAACGTCTTTAAATCCATTTTCCCGATTCAATTATAAACTATCGGCAAGGTGATTTGAATGAAAATAAAATCCTTGTCTGACTTTTTAGTTGTCAATTTTATAAAATAGCAAGTGAAACTTTAAAAAAGGTTTTAACAATATATCTACATTGATTAATGATAAAATATTCTTTTTGCAATTATCAGTTAAGGTTCATGCGAAAGAAACATTGTCATAAAAAACAAAGGAAAAACACATAACACAAAAAGCAATTCATCAGAGTTCAATAACTCACTTTCACGACAGATTAAATCTTAGGGTATTGGCAATAAGCCCTGACAAACACTCGCATACACATGCTAATATTTACAGTGTTTCGTGTGTAAAGTTGATTTTTTAATGACACAAACGTCATTTCTATCAAATAAATCTACTGGTTTGCATAAATATTGTCTTGTTCCGTAGGAGTATCATAGATGCCTTTCTTAGTTTTTGTCTTTACATAATCTATATCAGCATATTCTGTAGGGGAATCTCGCCGCTTGGCAACTGCTGCTTTTGATGGAGTCTCATTTGGATCAAAGTCAAGATCAGCATATAGTAAATGTCCCTCCTGTGCATGTTGGAGCTTAAAATTAAATCAAACACAAACATAAAATATACCTATTTTCCAGATTTCATAATATTTAAATCTAAATTTATTCTTCATCTGATGAAAAGCTGTTACAAAAATGTTCAGTCAAGTAAATTATTATATCAAATATGCAGATGACCTTACGCAAGCCATCACAACGTCTCTATATAATTATAAAACAAAAGAAAATGTGATAATTGTTATCCACACCTTTTCCGTCTTTGAAGAAGAAGCTGATGCTCCTGTTTTGTTTACTTGCGCATATGTATTGTCCGAGTCGTCAATCGTTTTCTTTTTGACTGGTTGAGAATATACAGGTACTTCTGCCTCGTTCTCAAGCGCATGCGCATTCTGATTAAGCTTTCCCAAAGGACGAACCTCCGGGTTTTGTTGAGAAAATCTGCAATAGTAGACACAGGACCATGATTCTTATGTTTGTTTTTAAAAATTAAAAGTAGATTTAAATTGAACAGTCTAAATTGTAACATGGCACAAATATCTCTGAAATATACAAATCATTAAAAAGCTTTTAGTATTTACAATGTAATGTGAGAAAGTAATCAAATTTTGATCGTTAATGCATATGATATATTAAAAAAGTCAACGTAAAATAAATACACATGTATGCACATATACAGTTGCAGGAAAATTAAGAAATTTCGTTTCTTTCACTACCTGAAACAAAGGTCTTAAATAAAAGTTTACAATCAATCTTATTCTTTGATAAAGTATTTATCAATTGTAAAGAAACACTTACACTTTATCTTCCTCATGCTTGTGATAATCTACCCGGCGTTCCCTCTCTTCTGTAATGTTGAAGAAAAAATATATAAAAGAAATGCCAACATAACTTATAATGCCGTTTGTAAATACAAAGAAAATGTAATGGATAAACGTTATTAAACAGAAATAAGCTTAGAATTAATATTGTTGCCAAAGTGTCCAACGAAAAAAGACACTTATGCAGACGTGTGGCTTGCTTACACGATACTCTTGTACAAAGTTATACATGCTCGTGGTTAAGTTGTTAAGCTCAGCCCAAGGCCTTTTAGTCAAAGGACATGCTACAAAACAGCTGGTTCATCATGTTCTCATCATGATCGAGCTAAAATATTGTGTTGATTTAAACACTGTAGGTGTAATGTCGTTCATTTGAGTATGCATATTTTTGTTCGCTGAATAATGAAGGAATAATATGAACGCAAAGAAACAAGGCGCTTGAACAATTAAACGCCTTTTTCATCCATCGTATGAATCGGTTACTTTCCGTATTCAATGAGATACTTCGTAAAATTGGACAAATGCATAATTCTTTTCTAAATAATTGTCCCGTAATTCCTGGACTGGCGATATATACAACTACTTCAAGATTGATCTCATTTATACTCGGTACATTGCATGTGCTAAAGCCCACATCAGAATGGGAGAATTTAATACACATCAATAACCAAAATGGATTGACAAAAAGACCCTCACAAAAGTTGCGCCGTTGGAACAGCAGTCTGCAATGTTTTTTTTGTTTTTGTTTTTGTTTTGTCGGATAACCTGTATATATAATTGAATAACTACTTTCATATACGAAGCAAAAAACCTGTTTGTAGACTCCTGCAGGGTAAACAGTATTTGGGGTATTTCTGCTAAAGGAAGAACATTTCCTCTATTGTTCAGGAAGGAGTCAATTTGACGACAAAATTTGGAATACCCGGAAGAATTCTCGCATTTAAGGAAATGCTAATACTTGTGTAATAGCGACATTTGACAACATATATAAGGCACTGCAAATGACGCCATTTTTCAGAGAAGATATAAAGTCAATCTTACCTGTAGACTTTAGGCGTTTTTTCCTGATGACAGCAAACAAGACCGCTATGACAATGATACCGACCGCAAGTACACATGCACCAAGTATTATCCAAATTATGGATTTGTCCGAGTCTTGGCCAGTTTCTTTCTGGTTATCATTGTATTTACTGTCTTTATCGGCTGTTTCTTTATAAAATGAATAATTTCCTTATGATTAGCTAATGACTTACCTAGATTAATTAACATGAATTTCACGTTTATGATTAATATTTGATAATGTATTTTAACGCAAAGAAACATATTATATCGATATGAAATCAATTTGTATCAAGGGTACAAATTGAGATTTGTTTAGTAAAACTAAAAAGAGACGTGAGATGAACAGGTACATATGTAAGCTGTTGACAAGTATTATATCGGAAAGAAAATTGAATCATTTAAATGGAAACGCTTTAAATTATGAAACATAGTATTAAAAAACAAACGACATTCTTCTTTTCAAATTGTAACTTTTGTAAATTTGTAAATTTATCACTCTGTTTAACAAGGCACGGATTCTTGTTTTTGGAGACTAGAGTAAAATATTAAAAGGAAAACTACTAAAACAAACAAAGGGAATGTAAAACCATTACCTATCATGTGTACAGTCAGATATGTGTGATAAACTTTTGTTTAGTAAACCAGGCATATAAAACGTCTGTTTGGAACTTCATCAGTATCAATATTTAATACGCAGTTTTGTGTCATGTTACATTGCTTCTTCCTTATCTTTTCATTATTTAACTCTTCAATCCATGATATATTGGAGGCAGGAACGCTTTCAGCTACACATTTTACATGTGCCCGCTCTCCTTCAGAAATATTCAATGTCGATCCAGATATATTGAACTTTATAACTGGAGGGACTGAAATTTGATTTCAATACAACATCATGTTTGTCATAAAAAGGGATTGGTACAATCGGATATTTATCTTGATGATAAGCTCATATATGCAGATACAGATACAAACACAAACGCAGCAATAAATTAATCATAACGAAGTTACTCAGATTACTTTACAATGAAACAAAATATGCCAAGAGTGATATTTCACATTCTAAGTCTACGTGTGGAAAAAGATATAATGCTTATTTAAATGTTAAAAAAAGTGGCAGTGAATTACAAGTTTAACTATTTTTTCGTCTTTAGAGCGAAAGTGTTTTATGATATTTAAGGTCTCTATCTAAATATTATTTGTGATATTTATCAACAGAATGAACGAAATGTCTAGAAACTTACAAGGCAGAAGTATTTTGACAGTGTCTGTAAGGTCAACAGGAAACTCGTCACACTCAACTATACACGTTACATCTGTACCAATGTCTTCTTTACTGACAATCAAGTTTACTTCATACACAGAATTCCACGCACCATGGGGTAAACTTATTTTCTCTGAAGACTTTTCTGATCCGATGATACCTCTTGGAGCTTTAAACTGAACGTTGCAGACTGGATTCGAGCTATACACAGTGCAAGTAGCATACATTTGACTGTCTGCATCAACTTTGACTTCTAACATCACATCCGTTGGAGGTACTAAACAAAACAAGAAATTAAACATACATACCATTTACTGTTATTGAAATAATTTTCATTTAATACTATATACGTTTTCATGTTACAGGCTGAAAGTAAAAGTTGTTTTATTCCAGAAGGTATTTGTTTGTTTTGCTTAAGAAAGTACACATGTTTTGAAGCAATATCATCACATTGCTAACATTAGTTTGTAATTACAGTAAAAACTTGCTAATGAGACCACTGAAGAGACTTCGCAATTCTGGTTCGCAAATAAATAGCGTTTCTGTCCCATTAATGAGTCCGGTCAGACAGGAAATCATGAATTACAAGTGAAAAGAATCTAAAATATCGGCGCACTCAGAAGACTATGAATGGAATTGGATAAACTGTAGTACACACAATATTTTAAAGAAATCTTATACAAAAAACTTACAAAGATAGTTAACTTGTTTTGGTGGTGAACAGTCCCGCACAATTTTGTACCATTCGTTATATCGACAGCACGTGATGTTTTCTTTGTTCCATTCTATTTTGAATGTGGCCAAAGTGATAATGTTGGTATTTAAAGATGTAGTCGAATTATAATAATGTGAGTTTGCAGACGATACTTCTGAACCAGAAATACTAAAATACACATTCGGATTGGGTCTTCCATCATCCAACGTACATGTGATGTTAACAGCTTCTCCGTGTCTTAGAATTTCCGGCACCGAAAATTGAAACGTTGGTGGTTCTGTAAATATACAAATAAAGGTTGTATCTCCTTTAATAAAACAAAAATATCAAAACAAAATAATGAGTGCGATTAAAATAATCAACTTATTTTGTTGATACATGCAGTTTTATTTCAAATGCAAATATCATTTTCTTTCATTTAAGAATGAAAAGAAATAAAAATGTTTAAAAAATGATAATAACATTTGGCATAGTGTAATAATATTCAAACATACCATCTAAATCCACTTAAATTAGCATAATATACTTACTTATAACAAACATCTGAGCAGTAGCACTTAAAGGTGACGACAATGCATCGTTCATGACTGAAAATATTACACTTTCCATGTGATGGTGGTCCCTAACCGTGAAAAATACTATAAAGGTTGTTGAATTCAATTCTTGAGGTGGATATGATTCATTTCCTATTGTCATGGTAACCGTTAGAGGACGAGAGCCACCGTGTATCTCACAGGCAAGTTTGAACATCTCATTATCTTCACCAACAACACAGTCAGTGCAATTTTCTATGTCTTGTAGACCAACTATTCCAGGTACACTTGGTGGTTCTAAAAAAATATGCATACTATTTTTTAACAATATAAACAGATAATGAATTATTTATATTCTTTTTGGTATATAAATATTTTGATAGTTTGCCCTATACTACACTGATATATTTAAACAAAGACACATTTAGACAGACCTGAAGATAAATCAATCTGTACACGCACTTGTTGAGTTTATGTATACATGTATATGCACTCTAAACAACACTTCTAACGCAAAACCTACGTAATTTTTTTAATTTTAATCTGATTACGGATTCATTGTCTTGTAATGTACAAATAATAATAATAATAATAATAATAATAATAATAATAATAATAAATATAATAACAGTAATGATAAAAGTAAATTTTGTTTTACTTAATATGTAAAGTCTGCTTATTTTGTGCTTAGATTTTTATTATGATCATTTTGTGTACGGGAAGCTATTTTCAAGTAATGTTTCGATCAAGTAATGTTTCTGTTCTTATAGATATAGTTACATATTGTACAAACATATCCGTGAATTGTTATACTTTCCTGTTTTAGGGCCTGATTCTTTTTCGGTAGAGTCTAGAGTTGTAAAGCTCGCTTGATTCGCGAACACACTTATTCAACACATTCACATGTATGATTTAAATGCAAAATTAGTGCAACATTTTAAATGATTTGTATTTTTTTGTAACAAAATTGATGATTTTGAATGGTTTTATTGATGCATGTCGATGGCCCGCGCGCTTTCAATATTGAATGCAGAGCATATTTTTTTACAATAAGAGTTTTTTTATAATTTTTAATTGTCGCTTACACCGGTTATTATTACGATGCACATACACATCCGTAAATCTTTTAATAACGAACTACTATTTGTTATAAAAAAATGACATTTTTGTTAAAAACGAAATAGTATTTGTAAAAAATTATTTGTTACAAAAAGAAAATAACAGTTGCTAAAAACGAAATATTATTTACGAAATGACATTTCGTATTTACGAAACGATAAAAGTAAATCAACGTGTCGTTAAAAAATGAAATGGTATTTCGTAAAAGTGAAATAGCATTTTGTTACAAGAGCTGTCATTCAGAGGAAAGTTAATGCAAAACCTTATCAGAGTTATGGACCTTGTATGATGACCTTGCCTTATGATGAAGCAGACACGATTTTAGTTTCAATAATATAAGTTCATAAAATAAATAAGTTTTCATGCAGAACTTAAAAGTAAGTACCTTCAAAAATTTTGAAGATTAGATACTGCATGCAAAACTTTAACAAAACATCAAGTTCAAATCGGACAATAGTTTTGTCAAAATTCGTGTAAAAATAAAAATGTCATAGATGTCAGTTTGTGGGCAATCGCATAATATAAATAATCATAATTGATGTGTTTCGCTCACATTACTGTAGGTTAAATCGATCAGCAAGTAGAACTGGCCGCCCGTCATGTTTAAATAACTGCGTTTAAATAACTGCGTTACATTCATGTGCAGAGAGTACTGAATGACATATTAAATCATATTCATATGTTGTGTTAGAAGTATCTTTCAAGTGTATATCAATATAGCTTTTTACTCTTTTATTATTTGTTTTAAATACAAACTATATCACCGTTTATGTTTCTTTTGATCTTAAGAATATTTCAGTTTAGAAACATACACAAACCTGGTATTTTCACAGTTATAAAATCTGTGTATTTTGCGGAAGAGCCGCAATAAACACCATAATCTCCATTCATAGAAATATTGAACATGGATATTGTCAACACATATTTATTATTTTCCTCAAATGTCTCCTCGTAACTACCACCAACCAATGTCAATTCTTTGTGTTTTCCTCTGACGGAATGTATCCATCTACGTTCGAAACTAGAACTATTTTGCATCACATCAGTTGACGGATAATATTCGATTTTCACGGTTCCATTAACAATCTCCTTTTCAGATCTGAGGTAGACGAGTCCACATGAATTGTTTATAGCTTAAAATAAAATATAGTAAGGCAAATGGTAATTTAATTTGTGTTGATATAAACATTTTTTGTTCAGACCATATATAATGTAATATATAAATAAATATTCAATAAGCAATTACAGTGAGATAATGTAAATAAAAAATAATGATAATTGATTATGGCTAGCTATAGATAGTGGCTACCTAATTACTTATAAACATAGAAATACATTGAAACATTAAAGAAAATTAAATATACAGCAAAATATTTATTCTACAATACCTTTAAGCGTCAGTTCCCCAGCGTCCATCCAGCAATGTATAGTCTCATTATAATAATGAATTCGGTAAAATCCCTCGTCTTGTTTTTTCTTACAGTCAGTTAATATCAGGTAGTAAATCCAATTTTTCTCATATTGTGTAAAGTTGTTGTTTAAAGGAAGCGTTTTCCATTGATCTGTTCCATTCATGCTGCGCTGCCATTCCAGAATTGCATTTGGATCATAGATGTCGGGGGTAAAAGAAAATACGACATACCGTCCTAGTATTGTGGGTTTGTCAATAGTCAACAGACCACACTTACTCAAACCATCATCACCTGTAGAATAATTCCATCATCAACTAAAGCATTCACATTTTATTTTACTGAATTAATGTTTAGTTAATATGATCATCTCTACCAATTTTCTAATAAGTCACTCCTTTCGAAAGTTATCGCTATATCAACCCATTTTTCTTATATTTCATTGATATCTGTTATACTGAAAACAGTTATTTTCAATTATTCTGATGTTTGTCCTTGTCATATCGGCGGATATTTGATTTGTAACAACACGAAAGAGAAGGAATATCACGGAGGAGGAAGTGTTACACGAGAGATGGAGTTCTTATGATAACTTGTCAAGGGGTTTTTGTGATAACTGCCACGGAGTTCGTCGGAGAACTATTGTATATACTACTAAAAAAGTGAGTTTTATGTGCTAAATTTATATTTAATAATAAAGTTTGCCTTACATATTGCATTATGTGTCAAAAACTAATTCACTGTAATTCATAGTCAATTTTTCATCGCCTTTTGCTTAAAATCTGGTAGTTTTGAGTAAAATTTCCAAATTATTTGCCATTTTGCTAGTATCCATATATATTTACCTAATTATATGCAAAATTACAAACAAAAAGCCCCGGCTAACAAATTTATACCCGACTTTTCAAATGTACTGGAGTTCATGTGATAACTCAAAATACCCTCGTGAAACACTTTCTCCCCCGTAATTATGCTGGTCTTTAAATACAGTTTACAGCGGAAAATCAGTGTAAAGCGCAAAGAAATTGTGATGACCAACGTTGCTTCCTTGTTCATATTTTGAAAATGTCGGCATATTTCTGTTTCTAATAGCATTTTAATACGTCACATTTGATACAAGGTACATTTCCTTGCGATGCACGTGAATGAAATTGGCAGTTGTAATTTTATCCCGCATGGTTGATTTTAATAGGATAGCTTGGTTTCAATTTGTTGGCGTAAAAGAAGTAACAGTCAGAATATTATGTCAGAAAAGATTGTTAACATAGATAAGACCTTTTGAAACAAGTTTTTAAGGGGTGACTAATAAGAAATTTGGTTAAGTATATTCTATATTAATTTTATTTATAAATATAATTTAAAACAAATACATTTATAAAAATAATATATGTCATACAATTATTCTTCCTGAACGTTTTGCACGTACAAGGGGCATATTTTAATTAGTGGCAACAGCTCAATTAGCATGATTAGCACTTGAAAGTACATGGATTGTATAACCACTGGAAAAATATAGATTTTCTAACCAACAATCTATGCACATGATTTACACACTAAAATTTTAGCAGGTCATTTCAATATATGTAGTTTTGTTTACTGGTTAAAACATGGCTTGGTGACATTAAGATTTGAGAGAGCAGCAGAAAGCTTATTGCAAAATTCAAGGGTTATTGGGTAAATGCGCGTCAGAAACAAAATCGGATCTATATTTAGTTTATGACAAAAAGGACCTTCTATATCGTATAACTGTCAGGTGGGTGTAACAGGAAGGGAGAACTAATGTTAAAGAGTATCTCCGCCATGGGCAGCCAATTTCGCTACCTCTGAGAAAGACACCAGCACTGTGAACGCCATAGTTGATTAAGATGCAAGATTTACCGTGAAGAAATAAGTGAGATATCGGGCCTAAGTGCGTCATATGAAAACTGTGTGTCCATTGGATCCCGCAGTTGTCTTCCTCAACTGTTCACCATCCTCATCATTGATTCGAAAATTTGAGAAACACATGTTTGATTTCAAACATATTTAGAGAAAAATAAATTTGTCAAACCCCGACCTTTAAATAAGGAAATACTGTATAACAGAAATCGGACCTCGTGAGGATAAATATGAGTTTGATGATGATAAAACTTTTGATGATTGGTGTAATGATACTACCTAATTTGATTGAAAAACTGTGATGCAGATGATACCGATGATTTTTTTTTTCATGAGAATGATCAATGTAATGATAATAAGCTTCTAATGATTATGATGGAGATGATAAAAAATTATGGCGATGAATGTAATAATTTAAGTGCTGATGATTATGAAGTTAACTTAAATTATACTGATTTTAATGATGATGATGATGATGGTAATGATGATGATGATGATAAAGGTGATCATGGTTTGAAATGACGACGTTTGAGTTGTTATCTTTTAAATAATTTCAATAATGAAGATGATCGTGGTGATGATGATTTTGATAATGATAGTTGTCATTATCATAATAAAGATTGCAATAATGATTTTGACTGTAATTATATTTTGATTACAGAGGAGTTTTAAATTATGATTTTGAAGATGACTGGGATGAAAGTGGTGAAAATAATAAAGTGATGATAATGATGATGATAATGGTGATGAGTTTGATGACAATGGGCATGATGATGAGTTTGATAATGACGATGTTGATGACGACTGAGGTAAAATTGTTATTACCTTTGATGGTGAAATTAATGATGATCCAAGCTGACGGCATTGTTTATTTATAAGCAGTTTCATGATGAAGAGAGAGGTATCATGTTTAACATTGATGCATGTTGTTGATAAAACAGGCCTCAGCTGCCACCGAGGACAACGTACCAATGCTTATGTTGTATTTTAATTAGGATGCGTGATAATCGGTTATTGAAAAGAAATTTAAAAAATGCTGCAAACAACAATTTCTTTTCAAAAGTTTGTGTAAAGCCATGTTTTGACATGGGAAAACTCGATTTTGGGTAATTCCAATATTTTTCATTATTTCTGTCAATAACCCATTTCCTCTTATCAACGTTTTTTCGCCTTTTCACCTTCTTTTCACCCCACCCCAATTTTAGGCCTTAAATGTAAACAAAATTCCTCATTTAGACCCCAAACACTTGTTTTCGTGAGAAATGGTGTTAATTAAAGTTATCACTTTTACGGCGTAATCCCCTATCAAATAGATTCATCAAGGGGGTGCCAGGTAGGGGCTGTGCCCTTTCTGTTTGGCGGTTTGTAGGTGGTCGGCAGACCCCCTCGTCTCAAAGAAAATTTTGGATTTGTGAGAGGCTCAAAACAGCCTCAGGTCTACCTTAAGGTAACTTGTAACCAACACTGAAAAGCCTTTGACACTATCTCAATCCATTGAGAAGTTGCAGCACTTTGATGCGAAATTCAACGCAAAATAGTGATGTTTGGCAATTTTGAGATGTCCCCTTGTTGCCATGGTAGTAGAAAATTGAGATTGAGTATATGATTACAAAGCTTATGGTCATGATAACATCTGTGCCAAGTTTTAGCTGTATTGAAGCGTTATATATAATTTCATGGCAATTTTAACTTGTAACATGAGGCTTTTCAATCATATTTCTATGAAAACAGCCATTTTTCACAGAAAGCTCATGAAGTAATGGGTGAAAGAAATAGCAAGTTGTGCAGGCTATCGGAAGGCAGTTCACTTTTGGCTATGCCATTTTTCAGTGCTCACAAAACGAAATGATATTGATACAGTCGAAACTTTATAAAGATCCTCGCATTATAGTTATACTCTTTGATTGATGGTTTGGTTGTTTATATAATATTTCGGCGCTCGGTTGACCTTAACGGCTTTAAATTCTTTGGACGACTAACCACTGATTATCATTTTTTCTGCAAAAGACAGCCTACTTATCTGAACCAGCAGGAAAGGTTAAATGATCATGATTGTATGAGATAATTCCTTGATAAGCGACAGTTGCCCCGTGTAAAATATTTTAAAAAATGTGGATCAATTATTATTATTTTATTTCTTTATAGAAATTGAATTGATCGTATTATGCTACCATCAAATATTACATAAACAAACTGCAAAAAAATACTGGTTAACAAGGAAACTACCATATCTTTGTTTACAATCGAAGAATAACAATATACAAAACAAGAATTATCGGATCAAAATAAAGGAGATTTAGGACAAAAAAACATAATGGTTCAACCATGAATCATTTGTAAAATTCCAATGGTTTTAATATTTTTTTCTTAAATTTCATAAACATGTTATTCATGTCACCGTTAGCAAGTAAATACAGAATATAAAACAAGAGCCATTGCCAGGCGTGTGCAACGCCCGACCTTTAACTTTTTCTGAAAGCAAACAAAAAAATGGTTTGAACAAGTCTTGTAAAAGAAAATTAAAGACAAAAAAGTTTTTCCTTTTAATGTAACAAAATAATGACAATTGCAATAAAACTCTTTGACTGTGATAGTCAAGGCAATTTTAAAGTCTAGATCAAGGTCAGTTCAACATTTGAGAATGTCTTGTCTAAAAGGTTGTTTTGTTTAAGTATGAAAGTAATCGATTGTTGATTTGTTACCAAGCAGCTGCCAATGATAACGATAATCAGTGGAAATAAAATAATTTGACCTTCAAAGTCAATGTCATACATAAGACAAGAAAAAATTGAGCTAAATATACATGAAGGTCCTGACCTAAATCAGATCCGGATATAAATAACAAAAAAGCAATTTCAAATTATTCATAATTTTACTTTGACGGCCAAGGTCATTTAAAGCTCAAGTCCAAGTCAGTTAAATCCTCAAGAAGGTCTCGTTGTTTTGTCAAAATATTAAGATATTCAATTAATCAATTACCAAGTAACAGTCAATAACAGCAAAACTCAGTGCATATTCAGTAATTTAACTTCAATGTGAAGGTTATTTATGAATCTAGGTCAATTTGAGTTTGATATACATGGAGGTCATATCATTAAGATTGTTCTAGTATAAAATAAAATCAATCCATTCTATAATAATGTATTCCATTTATGGCCAGTTTTATACACCAGAAGAAAAAGGCAAGACTTACAATATTAATATAAATCATATTTTATATTTAGGAATTAAAAAAGCAGTTACAAGCTTTTTTCAAAATGTCTGCTTCAACCCTTCTAACTTTTTACAGAGAACAATTCCAAAACCCATTAATTGTCAGGTCAAGTGGTCACAAAAACTATGCCTCTCAAATGATGATGAATACTGGAAGAAGGTATATAATGTAACATTCAAATTGACAAAATATACTTATATACAATAGTTCCAAGTAAGACTTATCCATAGAAGTTTGGGTACAAATAATATTTTGTTCAAAATGAAATATATTAACAGTCCCTTATGTAGCATTTTTAATCTTCATGTTGAAACTATAGAACACATCTGTCGGGAATGCATTCACAGCAATAAACTAAAACGCGAAATTTGTATAGATAAAATAAACATGCCAAACTTGAATAAAGAAACTATGCTGTTTGGTTACACTAAAGGAAACAATACAATAAATGATAATGTTGAAATAAATTTAGTTCTTTTATATGTCAAAATGTATATTTTTAAATGTAAAACTCATAAAACAATGCTATCTTTAGCTGGTACTAGAAATTATATTTCATATGTACTAAAGTTAAATAAAGAAAAAGCTATCCAATGTGGATATCTTGACAAATTTAAGACAGACTGGCATACTATATTAAATATATGTCATAAATCATAATCAAAATAGAGTCCTATCCAATTTTCTTTTCAAATCTGATAATGATAAATGTGAATCATCCAAATACTTTTTCGTATGTTGATGTTAGGAGCGGCCTTTGTCGTTTCAGTTTTCAGACCTAGCTTTGAGCATACTTGATAGAATAAATTCATGCTTGTTGAATATTTAAACGTGCACTGGCCACAAAGTGTCTGTCCTTGATGTTTTTGTTGTGTTATATTGTTATTTTCTTTTGTAAATAATCATGTTTTTTTCATCTATCGATTTATTTTATCGTCAAGCCTCCTAGCTAATCCCATTAGTATGTTTATTATGCTTTGTTTAAGGCATAATGTATTGAAACTGCCACAAATAGAAATAGAATTTGCAGAATTAAAAAAAAACCGCAATTATTCTGATAGATGAAGTAATATTTTTCTACGTTTTGAACTTATAACCTCCTTTACATATTCAATTATTCAAATAAATATTTGCCATGTTTTACTAAATGTTAATACAATGTTAATTTATCATGCTTTAACTAGATTGCACACATTATCGTAACACTGTTACGGACCTCTGACCTTTAATTAGTCATGCGACGGAGGCAATAAACGGGGTTTCCTTCGGGGCCTGACATTTTTTTGGGCGATGAGGGGGACTTCTATCTCCCTTCAACCTCCACCAAGCAGAAACGGGCGCATACGCCATCTGGCACCCCCTTGATGTGCATTTTTAAAGAGGGTGGCGCCAAAAAAAGTAATCACTTTTTAACAACATTCATTTCTCAAACAAAAACAAGTGATAGGGTCAAAACAGGGCATTTTATCAACTATTTGTCAATTGAGGCCTCAAAGAAAAGCCGTCAAAACACGTCTATGTGAGATAAAAAGGTTTAAGATAATGGGATATAACACCAAAGTTCTTGATATCAAGGAGCATAGTAGAAATAAATTGTGTTTGACATTGTACCATCCGGGTAGAACAATATGCGTTAACATGGTCCCATCGTAAACGCGATTTGCCAAAACAGACGTCTGCCTGCAAGTGATGACAATCGTACGCAGAAAGTAAAAAGCAAAAACATTTAAGACATAAGCAGCAATCACATGTTAATTTTCTTGTTACTGTTTACTAAATGGACAACCTGCCATGCATTTTCGCAAGATAACACTTTTAAATCACAAAAAGAATTAGAGGATATTCAAGTTTTTTTCTATAAATACATGATTTATTTTCATCGAGTGGGATTTGATGAGTGGCGTAGCCACGAGTGAAACATGGTAATTTTCATGCCATAAGATATGCCATGCAATGAATACCCGCTTTTAATTAAAGAAATAAAATTTGTAATTCTCTTCTTCTTCTGCTACTTCTTCTACTACTTATTCTTTTTCCTTCTTATTTGTCCTTAAATATAGGGTTAACGCACGTTTATTTCGTGTTATAAAGTCTGCAGAGTTTAAAAGAAAGTAGTCCGGCAAGACACCAGTGAAAAAACGGAAAATTCCTTTTTAATATCTTGTCACTTATTATAATTTTATTTGTGTAAAAAGATTTATCATATACTTATAAATGAAATATTGAAAAATATTGATGAAATAAAATGCGTATTTTCATTTTCTGTATTTTCACTGTAAAAATTTATTTTTCACTGCAGTGAAACATATTTTCCGTATTTTCACTGGTGTCTTGCCGGACTACTTTCTTTTAAATTTTGCCAGTACACAAAATTTAAGGGAAAATCTTTCAAATTTTAATGTCAAAAAAGAGAAAAATGTATATAATAAACAGAAAATTCAAGTTTTTTTCTATAAATACGTGATTTATTTTCATCTTATGGCACGAAAATTACCATATTTCACTCGTGGCTACCGCCACTCATGAAATATTTATTTTCATCCCACTCGATGAAAATAAATCATGTATTAATAGAAAAAACTTGAATATCCTCTATATATTTTTGCTCACCACATTTATTGATACCACACTTCTCCCATTCTTTTTCATTAGTTGTTAAACACCAGAGTGTGGTTTTGTCACCTGCAGTACGACAGAAATTAGCTGCATCTGATTTTGTGGCATCTGGGAAGTCACCCGCATTGTAGTCAGGAAACTGATCCCATCGTAAACACGGCATTCCGGTAACAGTTGTCTGCTGATGGCCGTCGTACTCCGGACGTGTTGTGCTATAACAGTCTAGCACTACACCTAGTGCGTAAGGTTATAAAACATTAAAACAAACATTCATGCATAAAGCAGCAGAGACACATTGAATATGCTTGATGTCTCTACGGAATTGAAAACCGGTTGGCCCTCATAGAATTATAAACCTCCCGGTCTATATTTTTATAAAGTATATCGACTCCCCAGCCATAATATAATGACCGCCAGTCAATGTATAATGACAACCTCACACGAAGAAAATGATCCTCGCAAACAAAGTTGACCCCCTTTCAATACAGACTACCTGTCAAGTGTTTTTATTTTTCAAAATTTACTTGAATTTATTGACGATTTGCTTCAAATAGATAAGAAAATAGAAACATACAAACTTTTCTTCAAGTTAAGTCATAACTTAATAATTTTATATCTGATTAGTTTCTATTACAAATGTAGCAGCTGTAAGTTGAATGACCTTCACATTCTTTTATTTCTGATTTGGACTTTTGCTTGTTGAATTAATCAGAGAAGCACGAAAACAAATTCATTCCTTGTCGAATAATATTAAACTTCTAATGCAACAATAATAATACAACAACTATTCACCAGTACAATAAGCTGAAATTAAAAGGGAAGGTGGGGGGCCTTAATATCTTAATCCAAGTTAATATTTCAAAGGGAGCGGTTTTCGAGTGGTAAGTGCTTCTGTCTTGTGATTGTTTTTCACTCGGAAGATATTATACAGGTTTAAGATTAGCTTGAGGCATTGTGTTTTAACTTCATATCTGAAACTAGGTAATTATTTTTCCAGCAGGAATAAGTATGTATACATAGAAATTGGGTCGCTTTTCTGCGGCATTATGACAGGGTTGTCAGTACTGCGACCAGGACAGTAGCTTCAAGCTCTCAGTAGTTAGTTTGAAAACAATTATCAATTTAAGGTCAATGAAAGGGGGCTTATATTCTACAAGTTTCTGAAGGGGTGATAGTTATTTCTTTAGAGAAAGGCAGTATAGGAAAGCGGCAATAGTGACCAGAGGTTCTTATTTCCTTTTGGTGGCTTTACTTCGTTACATCTGCCATGCTGTTGCAAAATAAATGAAACTCCACACAGGTTCAAAGCCTAAAACTACAATATCTGAATTTTTACAAAGCCGGGTAAATAAAGAGAAACAAATGAAAATCGTATTTTTTGTGCTATTTCAAGCACAATTTTATTGAAATGCGTTGCCATGATTTTCAATTTTGGGTCATGTTTTCACAGTAGATGATATCATTTTGGAAAAACGGAGTTTAAAGGGTTTCAACTTTTGTAGACAACTTATTGGTCTAAACCTATCAAATAAAGCATAAATCTCGAAAAATTATTACCAGCCCCGTCATGTCAAAAACATTTTTCAGTGTTAAATTTTTTACATCAAAAAGCAGTGAAGCAACTTAACAAAGTCTATTCAAAGTATGGAAGCAAAGGCCTATCGTCGCGCCATAGCAGCAAAGTATTTTGATTAAGACACATTATAGAACAATAAGTGACAAATAAAACAAAAACAAAACATACCTTTGCTGGGTATAATCACTGTTGATAATATAACCGAAAATATCCTGCATATATGACAGATATCCTTTGACATTTTATATGTAATAGTATCCAAATTATTCATTAAGATAAAATACATAATTTCAAAAAAAAGTTAATAGCTGCTTAACTTTCATTCTTATTCATGTTATAAATAAACCATTGTTTACGATTTCATGCAGTTGAATGAGTCGTGGGTTAGATCCAATTGTTTTTCAAGTGTGTGACGTCCGGCCCAAACATTCGACTACTAGTACTCCAGCAAACACTATAAATGTAAAGTTTATCACATTATATCTGTTGTTTCCCCTGTAATTATCATCAAACGCACCTTAAGTGAAAACTTCCTCGATCATTATATAGTATTAAACTTGTTGTTATATTCGATTACGTTTTTGGTTCAGATAATGGCTGTAGATGATATTGTACTGTTTGGAGCTGGTACAAATTATTGAATGATTCATAAGGCTCTATAACGTTTACCAAAATCTAGCATTTACATTTTGTGATGTTGTATTAAAACGAGCAATTTTGCAAGTGATGGTAATTAAAGTCCCCTCTTTTCAAAGAACCAGATTAACGATCATTGACTTTGATGGTAAGTCATGAATTCTGCTGAAAATATTGTAATAGCCAAGTCGTTATAGACTTAGTGTAAATTCCTACAGGACAATTTTATTTCCGTTTCCGGACAGGTGCATGATGACTTACATGCCAATGATTGTGTTATAATTGGGAAGTCGAAGCATCATAAAATCATTGAAAGACCTTATTTGGACTCTTCTTGGTTCCATTTTTGCTGCATCTATTGTTTTACTCAGCGTATGTGTTGCAATTGCATTGCATCGATTAAACAGAAAAGAACTAAAGGTATATTTTGAACAACAATGATATCATTTTCTTCAAAGGTTATATTAATATTAAATCTGATTTTATTTTCAGCATTATCAATAGTTGGAGCTGGAAAGAAATACTGATACCGATGACAAAGTGTTAGTATATCAAAACCTTTTATCTAATTACTCAATAATTTTATTCCATTTCTAATCACTCCAGTCACACAACCTGATCAATTTTACTTTCCCGCACTTTTAAAATCGTATAATACATATCTTACAAGCAGTAGAAAATACTCCAGTTTACTCTTTGTCTTACATTCTAGTGCTGTTTTAGTACTGACATACCTGTCACCTTTAATACAAGCATCTATAATTTGTCAAAGGTTTTTTTCCGGTTTTATTTCTGAAACAACTTTTTTTAATTTTAATAATAAAAGAGGATGGACACATTACAATTCCGTTTTGAAGACTACAAAGGGCTTTTTATCACAATTGTCAAAATAGTTGTGTTGTGACTTAAGCAGGTTGACATAATTTTGCTTACATATCTATATTGACTTACAGTAAATATGGAAGAATAAAGCATAAAAAGGAAGAATATAAAACGTGACATTTAGTACCCACCTGCGACTTGTGTAACGATTTTAGTAAGCTGTTGTATATCAAATTGAAGAAATTCACGATTACAGACAATTTTAATTGTCTCTTGATTCCTCGTTGTGGAGCTCAAAGGATATTTGTAATGATTACGAAAATAAATGTTACTGTATGTTCGATGAGCATTTATGTCATGCAATTGTTTAGACCCTTTGACCAAACACTCATTTCCTTTTATGAAACTGATGATTTATATATATTGTCTACTCCTGATTTTTTATATTCCTTATTTGTAATTTATGTTGACGAAATGTATATTAAAGATTTTAAGCATTTACGTTTGTAAATTTCAATCTATTTCTGTGTAAAATAATTTTCGTATTTTAAGGAAACTTGTTTCAAAAAGAAACATCAAAATATAAGGAGAAAAACAAAAAAGTATGTGAATAACTTTGCAATCCTCGAATATTTGTTTTCAGTGATATTAGTATTTGATGAGTAATACAATGAAATGACGGATGTCCTCCGTTTTGTTCTTTTGTTTGTATATGAAACAATTTCTAATATAGCCAGAAGGTAAAAATAAATCTGGTTGGTTGAGGAGAAAAGTTCGCGCGGTATATACCAGTCTAAACACATGACGTTCAGCAAATAAAAGAAAAGAACATGCGCAGTGGTATAGTGGTTATGCTGACTATGTGTACATGTCAAGGCGTTGCGAGCTGGCCCATTTGCTGCTCCATTGTGTTTTGTCGGTAGATTGAGAGTTAAGGTAATCTACGAAAACAATAACAATGATTGCACGTCTGATATGGAGAACAGCTGAACTTTAATATAGAAAATGACATACATATAGTATGATATGCTTACAAATTAAGCATATGAAAGGCATTGTTACCGGAACAGAAACGTACGTTCTTTGCAAAAACATGTCTTATTGGTGTCTTTGTCCTATTTTGTGTTCCTGATCTTTCTGATTTCTTGATTCCGTGTAGTGATACTGAATAAATTCTTGATTTTGTAGCATATACTAACATTTCAAAGCGAAATTTGATAAAAAGGCAATGAATTTCAGTAATTCTAGTTTCCTTTCAGTAGCATGCATGTAATGGTAAAAACAATACCAACGAATATTTGATTATTCTTAAAGCTGCGTCAAATTGTTTCATCAGATAAGCATGGGGATGGCCATCTCTTAGGATTCTTTATCAATATTTAACTTAAACTCTGCTTTATATCTTACACATAAATTTTTCAAATATGTTCCTTTTAAATAGTGAACAGTACCGATCATGAAGTTGATATACAATGGTCGTGTGAGCAGAGTCTTTTCCTGTCAGCAGCCTAGGATAAAGTGTTGTTTTTTTTTAATTTTCAGAGATAATGTTAACATAGTTCTTTCGCCGTATGAATCATTGGATCATTCACCGTGTACAAATGGCGCTTTGAACGAAGCATATTCACCATTTATGTGAACAACCATCTATCAATATCAATATAGGTGTGAAATAACTTTTGATTCTCAATCTATTTTGAAGTGAAAGGAGTATTGAAAATAGTGAAATGGATGTGAAAGAATTTTTACATTTTGACATTCAAGAGAAAAAAATATTGTACATAACTTATTAGAGAGAAATATTGATGAATAATTGTAAACAAAATATTAATACATTTTCGATACTTATGTGAAATTGATCTTTACTTATATTTATCATTGACGTGTAGTCAATACAGATGCATATTCGATATGGAAGTGAAAGAAATATTTAAACTAATCCAATATTAAATTGAAAAAGATATCGAATATATTCGATATTGAAGTGAAGTATGTATAAATATACTATACATATACAGTCGGCATTGTACTTGCGTCCACCTTTATTGAGCGACTTTTTTATTAAGCGGCCCGAATAAAATCCCTCCCGATGATTTTTACTATATAAGTTAATTCCATTAAACGACGATTTTATATCGCGGCCAGCGGCCATTAAATGTGAGCCTAAATGTACAAAATGCCGTGTTAAAGTATCTATTAAACGGTCGTGACAAACAATCGTCACAACGGACATTCTTACCTGTGTAATTAGCGAGTAGGTTTGACCAAACAAATATTTTTCATGGTCATTGGTCTTAAAGTATCTATTAAACGGCCGTCAATTAGACCGTCACTAATAATTGTCGTAAAAAACGAATTGAATAACAATTGCAATCGTTTCAAAATCGGAAAGAAAGAAACAGTTTTCCGATAGTACATGTAATATTTATTGTGACATATTTTGTCAGAGCAATAACGTATCACAACACCGCATTGGCACAGTTTTGTCATGTGCTCAGAGTGACTTCCCTTCCAGAAAATCAAATCGAAAATGACGTCGGAACGAGCGAAAAAAATGACAGACAACTAATAATACCGGATAAATTGAATGAGGAAATCGTGCATAGAATTGAGTCTGAGTAAATAGCAAATGCCATCGTTTGTAGTCGAAATAAAATCGTGAAACGTAGTGGACTAAACATTACAGAACCGAGCCTTTCATTGCTGATGGTGTAGGTGCTCATCTGATGCTTTATAAAATACATGTAGTACCCCATTAAATATGACCCTTCGACAAAAAAAAAAATAAAAAAAAAATAAAAAAAAATAAAATAATGATAATCTAAGATCTCTAAAACTTTTATGTTTTGAAATCGGGGTAGTGTGAAAACTAATTACTGAAAAAATCAAGAAGTTTAAATCTCATTGCATGAAAAATTATCTAGAGGTCGTGCTGATGATTTGAAAGTATGTTCAGCAGGAGATGTGTATGAACATATCAATAATTTATGACAATATGCTTTGTTTCAGGGTCAAAATGACCTGTTAATAGTATTATGAGCGTAGATCACATTTGTACACAAATTTCTACTAAATAAAACAAACACATATTGATGACTTTTTTAAACAAAAGGCATAAATGTCATTATGAAACTGTAATGCATATATAATATTGTATTTTTTTTGTTTTTATAAAAAGATGTTATTATATCTATGACTTGTAATATAATAAAGTCTCGAATTTTCCAGAATTCTATTGAGAGACCATTTTATTAAGAGACCACTTTTTGGCAGTCCCTTGAGTGGTCTCTTATACAATGTCGACTGTACTGTATATATTCTATATTTAAATGAAACAAGTATCGATATATTTTAGATATGGAAGAAAAGAAAAAAAAATCATGAATGTTTGATATTGATATAAAATGGGTATTGATGCATACTTGATACTGAAGTGAAAAAAGTATAATAATACAGGACATATTAAGTATTGATGTGAAACAAGTATTAGATACGGAAGTGAAAGAAATGTTTAATAAATATGTATAAATACATATTCTTTATATGAACACATATTTCATATTGATAGAAATAAGTATAACATTGATAGAGGTTACTGAAGCGAAAGAAAAATCAACAAAAACATATATTTATTTGAAATAAAATGTATTAAAATGATATATAATGGAAAACTTACTTTCCTAAGAAAAACATTGTTGCATAAGATAAAAATTTCAGAATTTGAGCACACATCAAAAACGTTTAAGCTTTGTTAGAATTTCATAGTGAATTCAATTATTAATAATTTTAAAACTTAATAAGACTTCGGCGTTCACACTGGTTTTGATATATCTTGTTTTAAATTATATCTAGAAATTTATTGTGAAATGCTAAATGTTTACAGTCCTTTGTTTTCCTAAAACAAACTTATGAAGGTCACTAATTATGTGTTGATCCTTCTAAGTAATTGTGCATTAT